GACCTTTTACATGTTTGCTCTGTTGACTACTCCCGGAGGGGTACTCGAATTGACTTGGCTTTTTTCCTTTAGGAAAGTTTAAATTGACCCACAGCTATGTAATTCTAGTTCAACCAGAGACACTATTGTTACAGTGGTAGGTTGTGTTATTAGTTACTGTATTCTAGTAGCTGTACAGTTCAAATAGTAATATCAAATTAGTAACGATCCATCTTATATACACGGTATACACCAAACTAATTTCTTTAAAGCTGAAAGATGACACCTTTTTTTGGAAATAAAGAGCTGCGCGCCTGGGGTATGAACACACTGTACTGTCACTTGGTCTCAGTGATCTGCATGATTGTTGGCCAGACTGGACTGTGGGATGCCTTTTGCAACTTTTTTAGTTTTGAAAACTTTGCTGCAACTAGCTATTAATTACGTTGTGTTGAGATGCATGTATGTAGACCATGATGATACTAATTATATATAAGCTTCAGCTACGTACCTATAAATGACAAAGATGACAAAATCTAAGCGAAAGCTATCATGCTGTAACAGTGGCCATCATTGAAGGCCACATGTACTTCTAATTATTTTATGGGCCTGTTCTCGTCGACTTGCTTTGCAAAGTAATCTGTTACGACTGGTTACACATGAGGATCGATCTAACCCCCCTGCTGTATACCTTCACCAGTTAACTGTGTGAAGGGCCAGTCCGTGTCTGGATCATCAGTTGATTCCTTAGGACATCGGTACAAATTTCTCTATTTTCAGCAATAACTGTCATGAGATTTTTCCTTACCTACTGTATGGATCGAAACATTGACGTAGCATGTCATGTCCTATTTTTAGTTTCCTAATATACATATTCGGATTACCGTAGAGTAGGTTGTTGTTGATTCATGAATTACCATTTTGTTTTTTTGAGTTAGGTACAGTACATACTACCTCCATCCACAGATAAATGCAATTCTCGCATTTCGAGAAATCAAACAGTTTAAACTTTAACTAAAATTATATAAAAATATACTAATACTCGTGAAACAAAAGAAGTACCATTGGATTAGTTATAAAATATTAGTTGGAGACATAAATGTTAATACTATTATATTTACTATAAACTTGGTGAAAGTTAAACTAGTTTGACCGGCACATTCCCATAATTGTATTTTTTTAGGAACGGAGGTAGTACAATTGAATCGATGCTTTTGTACTATTAGAACCATTGAATTCAGCATGGAAACTTAAACTTTCTTATATTAATTGGCTGGACATGTATCTATCAATTGTTATTTTAGACATTAATGTATGCATGACCTGAATATTTGAATATTGCCATTTTGATAAGCTGTCCATAAAAATTTAATATGGTCATTTTCACAAGAACAATATATAGATAGTTATATAATTGTTTATTAGTGGCAAAGATCTTAAAAGATAGCTTGTACACTATATCTAAACTAATGGCATGTTTTTTTTTCGAAACAGCGACAGTTATCATGTGTACAAAGTGTTGACACGGCGCTGATGTAGCTAGCGTGAACCCAAAATTAATCATATAAGCAGAGAACATCGATCTGTAGGCTAACCCTAATTAAGAATATAATGTATTTAGTCCCCCTAGCTAGGTATATAAATAATGGGGCATGACAGTGCATGCCGATAACTTGCACTGATCGATATCAGTTCGTCACTAATGATTGCCAATTATACTGCGGCTCTTTTAATTATGAGATGGAAGCAGCAGACAAGCTGGTTCAATTGGTTGTTAAACCGCATTGCACAAGCACCCTGTGCTGCTGTGTGCGCCATTGATCACCACACGTTGTGCCAGTCTACATCGCCGGCCTCTTTATGATTGTGCTGCTTAGGCAAAGCTCAATTAAGCTAAGCCAGTTCATGCATAAAAAGGGCATGATTACTCTTAAACCGGACGCACTGACGAAGCCTAGCTATGGCTTTCTACTTTTTTAGGAATGCCATGAAATTGGTACGTAGTACTGTGTATATCAGTTTTATTTTTATTTTTTTGCGAGGATACTAGTAAATACATATATACATATATCAGTGTCGCGGGGTCGAAACGGCGGCAAACATGTTGTTCGAGTCGGTGTCAGAGTACGGGTCTCCGGTGGCTCGGGTATACTTAGGAACACAAGAATCACACAGAGGAGACGCAACGGTTTATCCTGGTTCAAGCCAATTCGGTCCCTACATTTAGCAGCTGATGATCCTTATACTCAAGAGCACAAAAAATCAGGGGTTACAACAGAGTGTAAAGGAAGAAGATTTGGTAGGGGGTTAGCTCGGTGCTAATCCTAAGGTTGCCACGCCACCGGTGGAGACTTCCCTCTCATCGGAGAGGAGGAAGACGACGGGATACGGTGGAGGAGGGGCTCTCGGTGCCCCTCTCCGGGTTTCCCCGCTCTCTGTGCAGAGCGGAGGCGTATGGAATAGAATGGAGTGTCTGGTGATCGAATCGGATCCTCCCCCCTCTAGGTCCGACCTTATCCCTTATATAACAAGATATGTCGGGTACATGGCGTTTTGGGTGTTTAGTCTATGATCTACGTGCGCCGGAGTCCAGGGAGGTCTTACAGCGGTACGTCGTGGACCGTCGCTGTGTCTTGGAGCCAAAGAAGCCTTGGACGTAGTCCGGCTGCTCTGTTCTTACACTCTGCGTGTCAGGCTGTGTCAGCTTGGACCGGCCTCCCCGGGTGAGACCTTATGGAGTCTTCTTGGTGGCGAATGAGGTCAGCTCCAGGGGCTGACGCGCGGGCCCGGAAACCCCTGAGCCCCAAGAGGTCGTGGGAAGCTTTGTCTTCTTGTGTCACTCCCCGGACGTGACCCTGTCGGAGGAGCAGCTAGCAGGGTCGCGTCTGGGGAGCGGCGCCGGGGAGCCCTCGAGCATCGGTGGCTCGAGGCTTGTCTTCTTGTGCCCGGGCCTTGGCTGGCGTTGAGCCGGGCAGGAGCCAAGGACCGGGCTTGGTCACGCCGTAGATCGGGAGTCCAAGGCTCGGGGAAGCCCCCGAGTCCCAGGCGGTGGCTGCGGTCGAGTCAGGCTCGACCAGACCTCTTTGTCAGAGGGTGCGCGCAAGCATACTCGATGGGCATAGCCCCCAAGCTCTCGGGCGATCCTGAAGGGATCGATCAGGGGGGTCTTCTTCGTTCGGAAACCATGGAGCCTGAGGCTTAACATACATGTTTGGTAAGATCTCATCAATCAATATCAGTATGTACCCGGAATATATATGTACGTACTACTACTATCTTCTGCCACAAATCCATGATGCTTTAAACGAGGTCCTAATACTATCAAACCTTTGAAACTTAATTGCCTATCTTTACTGTGAACCAGTATTGAGTGATTTAGCCTTATTTAGATTCAGCCTATAAAGTTTGGGGGTGTCACATCGGATGTTACATGAGGTGTCACATGGGTGTTCGGATAATAATAAAAAAACAAATTACAGAATCTGTAAGTAAACCACGAGATGAATTTATTAAGACCAATTAATTCATATTAGCACACGTGTTACTGTAGCACTTTATTGTCAAATTATGGACTGATTAGACTTAAAAGATTCGCCTCGCAAATTAGTCGTAAACTGTGCAATTAATTATTTTTTAGTCTATATTAAATACTCCATGCATGTGTCAAACATTCGATGTGACAGGTCGTAAAGTTTTAGGGCGGGAACTATACAAGGGCTTATACGTACATATATACACTTCTTCAGCTATAATACATACTCCCATGGGCAGCAGGAACTGTTCGTGAAAAGTGACGAGACGAGGCGCAGCACTGTGGTAGATATTCTTGCGAGTGGTGGCAATGTCACCCTCACACTTTTTCTTGTACTGCCATTAATCTCGATTTGTCCTTGTTACTCTCTCTCTCTCTCTCTCTCTCTCTCGCTACCCACGGCCAGGGCCTTTTTTTCTTTGCAACATACACCTCCACAATATTCTTCAACACTCTCTTCCTCATTCAATACTGGTCTCTCTGCCTTTTTTCATAGTGTGCGGTCGATCTATGCACCTCACCTTTCCCTTGCTGCAGTTGGAGGGAGTGCTGCAGCTGGAAGAGGAGAGAAACTGGTTTCCCTCTCCATATCTCTCCTCCAGCTCCCTCCAGCAATTCTTCCATCCACACACAAGCTGAAGCAAGAATTGCTTACATATATCTTGTTTGTCCTTTTCTCTATTTTTCCTCCTCTTTTTATTTCCATTGTGCAGCTTGTCAGTAGATAGCAGTGGATCGATGTATGATGAAGGAAACAAGCTAGCTCGCTAGCAGCAGCAGAGAGAAGGATAGAGGAAAAAAAATCCTTCTTCATAGTCTTGCTCGGCCCTTCTTCACCAGGTCATCTGATCTGCAGATCTGTCTCCTGTGACCTTACAGAGGTGAGGATATGAGCGGGTCTCTCACTGCAACATGCCCATGTATGAGAAATTTTAGAAGACAAAAGCTTTGATTTGCAGTCTTCTGGGCTTCTGCCTTCTCCTGCTTGGTACTATTATATGGTTTCTTGAGATTTGAGCGCAAAGATCGCCTTTTTTTTCTTGGAAATTTGTGCTTCTTGTGCCATATCATCATACATGCACACCCACGCATCTGTACAGTGGATCATGCATCCTCCTTTTGTATTCATGATCATGCTGTTGATTTTCTATGGTCCCTTTATCAAACTATTTCCGCAGATAAGAATTCTACAGTCTCATTGTCCCTCTTTCTTTGACCCAAAGTAAAAAGGGCGGAACAGAACTTCCTCATTTTTCCCAAAGATTGCACATGCATAGCTGGATGCCTGGATCAGAACACCACACTCCAAAACCCTAATCTTCTGATTTTTCTGCCTTCCCAGAACAATCCTCAGTCCAAGAAAACCCTAACCCTAAGATTAGTATCGAAAAAGATATGCGTATTCGCAGCTCATCACATTTTCTTTGGGAAAAAAAACTGATGATAATCCAACGCCTTTTTTCTCTATTCGCAGGCCAGGAAGAAGGAAATGGCATCGCCGTCGAGCACCAGCAACAACTCGGCCCTCTCCCCTGTGGCCCCGTCAGGGACGACGACGCCCGGTGCCGGGGCGCCGTGCGCGGCGTGCAAGTTCCTGCGGCGCAAGTGCCTGCCGGGGTGCGTGTTCGCGCCCTACTTCCCTCCGGAGGAGCCGCAGAAATTCGCCAACGTGCACAAGGTGTTCGGTGCCAGCAACGTGACCAAGCTGCTGAACGAGCTGCTGCCGCACCAGCGGGAGGACGCCGTGAGCTCGCTCGCCTACGAGGCCGAGGCGCGCGTCAAGGACCCCGTCTACGGCTGCGTCGGCGCCATCTCCGTGCTCCAGCGCCAGGTCCACCGCCTCCAGAAGGAGCTGGACGCCGCGCACGCCGAGCTCCTGCGCTACGCCTGCGGCGACGTCGCCGCCGGCATCCCCACCGCGCTCCCTGTCGTCAGCGCCGCCCCCAGGTTCTCCACGGCAATGACGACGAGCCCCGGGCAGCAGTTCGCAGCGGTAGCGGCCACTGCGCATGCCGCCGCCGGCATGTACGGCAGCAGCCGGAGGCTCGGGGTCTTGGACGGCGTAGCGGCGCCACCACCGCCACCGCCAGCAGCGGGCGGCTGCTACTTCATGCGGAACCACAGCAACGTCATTAGTAGCACCCCAGGCGCTGACGTGGCGCCCGTCCTGCCTTACGCTTCCGTGGCTAATTGGGCCGTGAATGCCATCAGCGCCTCGATGACCACCACCTCTGGATCAGAGAGCATTGAGTTGGATCACAAGGAAGGGGGAGACAGCAGCATGTGAAGTGAAGGAAGCAGGAAGCGCCGCCGTGAATGGTAAGCTGTAATTTTCTGCACGGCAGCCATGCCCATGCATGATGTAACTACTATGTATATACTGTATAGGTGCTAGTTTGTGTGTTTTAATTATATATATAGTTGTTATCTGAGGCTTTAATAATTGCTACTATGCTTGTATATGTATTGTGCAGTGATTTACTAGCTCCTTGTTCAGATGTGGAGACATGGATGCATGCACTTGCATTGAGCCCTTTGGCCTTAATGAGCTGTGGGATCGGAGGAGTACTTAGCTTGGTGAAGGAAAGGAAGGAAGCTTCAGGGGGGAATCGGAGATGGGAGCCCAATCGATCTCAGGTTGATTAAGAGCTAAGGAGCAATCTATCTATATCTATCTATCTACCTTTCGCTATATAGCCGACATGAATTATATATATCGTCTGCATCCCCTTTTTGCATGTGTTGTGCAAACCATACTTTGGAGTACTAAATGTAATCGAATCGAGATCTTGATCTCTCTTCTTTTCATGATTAATTCTTCGTTTTCGCAGGATCCATCGATCAGTCATTAGTACTCCGTTTATATATAGCATGCATGCATGCTTTGGCTTTGCGATCAGAAAACAAAACCACCACCTTTAGGCCAAATAAAATAAGAGCCAATCAAAGCAGCAGGATCCTCCATGCATGCATGCATGAGTGTAGTATAGTACTAAGCTGATCTGCATCTTATATCATATGTCATAGGCACCAGTGGCCTATGCTTGCATATATGCTCCAGATATATGATCTTGAGATGCTTCGTAGTCAGCTGGGAGAGCTAGGGAGATTAACGAACACAGTTAGTTTTTTAAATTATACATATATATGGTGATCGAGCATCACATCATTTCTTTCGCAGACATTCTTCCCGTCCATGTTAGTAAACTGTAAAGGCATGGGAAAAGCAGTATTCCGGGCACTATTCTTATAGGTCCCAGATCTTTTTATGGATCTCACTGTTGGTGCATTGTACATGTATTTATTCCATCGCCTAGAATTTTCCTCCATCTCGGCATTAAGCCTTTTTCTAAATTCTGCGGTTCTGATTGGATTGGCCGCTACTTTAATTTGCATGCTTAAATGTTCCATCTGCTGCAAGATCTAAGATATTCATTGTGTACTGTAGGATTCCTTGTGGTGTGGATATATGTATTGGATGTCATTGAGTTGCACTTCCTTCTTAGTTGTGCCCATATATATTCAAGTGTGCACCCATCTTGCATTGATGCCACTGTTATTGGTCCCGTTTAACCATATTCTGGCGTGCTCCATGCATGCTCGAGTGGGTTTTCAGGGTGTGGTTGGCCGGGTTCAGCACCATTGTGCACTTACCGGCAGCATGCAGTTTGATATTAGGCAAGTTTGACTAGATTTTGCTAGTGTATAGTTCTTTTTTATCACAACTGTTGCATGATATAGTTACCTTGCCACAAGGCCACCAGTCATGCATACACCCTTTTTTTTTCCAGCCAAAGTTAGTTAGCCAGAACTAGCAACTTCTAAGGCATACGGCTTTCAACCAAATTAACAGCTCAAAAGTCATCTTTCAAACATCCTTGGTTCAGTTTTGTGTGAAATCCAAGATTCTTGTGCTTCACTTTCACCCATATGTCAAATGCCATTTAATTTTTAGAGAATGGAGGTAATCTCCCGTCATAGATGGCCCAGAATCTGACTTTTAGTTAGAGACATTGTTGCTGCCATCAATTTTTTTGGTTACACAATTTCCATAACGTCTATTTTCTAACGTTAAATTCTATTTAAAATGTATAGTCTATTGATTTTAGTCTACTCATTAAATATCAACTCAAACATGCAAACATTCACTGAAATAATGCTTCATGAAAACTTAGAGAAAAATATATGTGAATTGTGTACCTCCTCCACAAAAAACTTGATGTATTAATTTTGTCCTAAGTCAAACTATCTTAAATTTGATCATGTTTGTACTAAAATATATTAATAGTTATATTTCCAAATAAGTATCATTGGTCAGATTAATCATGGAACATATATATTTCCATAGTATATATATCTGGTTTCATAAATGTTAAGAAAATCTTCTCTATAAATTTAATCAGTCAAATTTATTAAGATAGGTTGATGACTTAGGAAAAAAAACTAATAAAATGTCAAGAAATTTAGGATAGAGATAGTAAAATCAACATAAGAACAATTGTGTAGCGTTTGGAAGCTAAATGAAGTAATATGATCCATCATTTAATTTTCCTTCATGAATTAAACTTGAACCAAAAGAGATATGGACGAGGGTTGACATAAGCTTTCAATGTAACCCTTTCTGTTTTTTTAACCATCAAATTCTTTCTAATCACAAAAGAATTGTATGGGGCATTAAACATTTTATATAGTACTATACTCTATCTATCATGCACATATTAATTAGAATAAGAGTCTACGGTAAAAATTGAATTTTGCGATATGATTAATTGTATTTTGAGATCGATGCTAGGACACATTTTGTCTTGTGACCTACTAGCTATTGAAATAATGACTGAAACAACTGTATTTTGTGATTGGATTATTATGAGAAGCGTGCGAGACCTTGCGGCTTCTGGCATGCACAACTTTCAAGTTAACTTTTGACATTGTAGCGCCTGAAAAGCGCCGCGTCAATAATTCTGCCATAGACGATAGGATCCAAATCGAAGTAGCTGTAGGTTACGTGCATTATAAGTACAAAACACAATAATCTCAATACAATTTTCTCTCTCTCTGCGTGATGATTGGACTACTGTTGTTTTCAGTCCACCGTACCCCTGAATAACCGTTGTTTTCATTTTTCGATAAACAACGTTAACTAAATATATATATATATATAATATTAATATTTATGGTATAAAATTAATATCATTATATAGATTGTTAAATCTATTTTTATAAATAAATTTATTTGGAGATACAAATGTTGTACATATTTTTCTATAAATCAAATTAAATTTACGGTATAGAAATAAAAAACGATAGTTATTTAGGAACAGATATAGTGATTCCTAACTTAAAAAAACCCAAGCAATTACATGTGTGCATCTGCATCATGTATCACGCACTATTCGTCACATTTACACTTCTTTATTTTGTACACTGATTGGAACATGTACAGATTTAAGCGTGAAAAGCTTGTCATTCGAAACAGTATATCTAGGATGGTCCATGTGACCACACGGTCCTTCAAGTTGGTCCTCGAGTAAGCTATCCTTTAACACGTGCCTTTCCTTGCACTAGCTATTAGCCTGTTCGCTTATTGGTTTCAGTTAGGGCTTATCAGTCATGGTACAGTATTTTTCTCTCACATCAAACCAGCACTAGCCGAGCTTATCAGGCCAGAAACCAACCAGCGAACATGCTGTATATATACATGCATTTGGGTTCCAAATCGATCAGGTTTGACATTCACTTACAAGAAAAATCAATGCATTATTAGTGCTAATTAATTGGCAACTGATATGGAATATTATGCTGACAAGACAGCACATGTCTTTATGCCATATTTATCCGAATTAATAGAAGAATAGCACAAGTTATTGGTAAGATAATGAAGATAACGATAGGTCGGGTTACACTGCCCGGTGGTGTCTAATCAGTTGTCATTCCTACCGATCCATTTAGAGATAAGTCAAATGTGCATCCATCCATACTATATAACCAGCACTGTATATATGTAGAACCGTTTTTCCCATTATGACAACTATATACGTACAAAGGAATTTTTAGATTAATAACAGCATAGGTGCACATATGTACAGCATTGCATCTTCTAGTTATGCCAGTTTAAACTCTTATTATATATATTCTATTAAATAACATATAAAGAGAAAATTGTCTACACACAGTGTCACCAGTTAAGGCATTATTGAATGTATTACTAACCTATATTTTTCATTAAATATGTTATGCCTTTTTTTTAGTTTTCTCTAGTTGTAAGTGCAGGTGTAGCGCATATGATCTAAGTTTATAGATATTTTCGTTTCCAGTTCAGGTTGGTGCAAATAACTGAGTACCTGGATATTCAAACTCAGATAAATTATTCAAGTATATCCTTCATTTTAATTTGCATTAAAAACTTAATCATGAACGTTATGTAGATGCTAATAATACTATTTGGGAGCGTCTTTTACAAGGCAAATGTGTGTCATACATATGTATATCTTTGAAACTATAATTGCAAGTGTGGTACCTAATTATCAACATAATCGAATGTACAATATTATGACTTATGAGGCAGATTTACCAGCCAATCCAGCTAATAAAGAATATAACTTTGAACTTCGAGTATATAGTTCATGGAGTCAAACCACGTAGGGTGTGTTTACCGTAGCAGCACTGTTTGTTGGAGCTGTTTTTCCGTCTCCTAGTAAAATGAACGTGGAGCCGGAGAAGCCACGATTTATGGCTCTTCTAGTACTGTAGCACGGAGTTGGGGCCTGAAGGAGCCTGGGTCTGCAGGAGCCCGGTCAAACGGGGCCTTAGACTTTTTCCTATAACACCATCTTCACGTGTGTTCATATTGGATGGTGTGTATTGTCTTATTGTGTTTAAAAATATCAGTAGTACTATTATTCTAATGATGGTCAGAATTTTGTTGTGGAGCCCATGTTAATGTCATAATTGTCACTTTGCTATGATAACAGTAGAATTCAAGATATGTTTAATAAAAGAAAAACTGGAAAAATATATATGCAGTGGTAGGTACCAAAAGATTTTGTTAAGCGACTATAGCCTCATCTTTATATATCATGTAAAAATCGATATAAAAAACCATATTTTAAGTTAGAAACAATCCAAAAGGAGAATCGATGATACAAATTAATTCAGGCGTTGCTGATATATATAGGAGTAGTTGTCTAAGTTGTTTTCTAGTGTGTTTGCTCTCGTTTCTTTGTCCATATAAAGGATCGGAACAAGAAGCATAAACATTTACAACATATACACTATATTTATTTAAAG